GATGAGTAATTCTTTTTTAAGATTTGTTTTCGAAATGTAATATTCAACAATATGGGTAAAGAAAACAAAGTAGGAGATGGACAGTAAAATTTTCCTCAGATTTGAAAAAGTTTTTGCAGAACTTTAAAAAGTTGAAGAATTCAAACAATTTTTTTCATGCTACAATCTTTCGTTGTTTCTTTCGTCACTATGCTAACTTAATCTGATACCTCTTTGGCTTATCCTTCTGGGGTTTCTAATGAATGGCTTATTAGAACGGAAGTGTTTCTGCACTTTTTTTATGAAATTTTTTTCTTGAGATAAACACAAAACAATGTTACAGTTTTCGCTATTTCCGTTATTTAAATTTGATACTTTCTCGAACCACAAAAAAGAATGAAAATTTTGAATCAGAAGAGTAGGAAAATACCCTTTAGTTCAATAAATTTCAATTGAATCGTTGACGAATCGAATAGTCTCTATAGATAAAGGATCGAGACTGATTATAGAAAAAAAATTGCTTTGAATAAAACTTTCATTTATTGAAATGTACCACTTGTTGTCATTTAACTAGAAGGAAGCTAGCCAACAATAAAATAGAAATGAAATTGAAAGTTGATTTAATATCTTTGTGATTAAAAATACATAAATAGTTTTTCTAGAGAAATAAAAGAAGAATCTTTTGAAAAAACAACACAAATGCAAGAGATGAACAGATTAATAATAGTCCGTTATTTTTGTTTTTACTTTTTGCAATAAACTTCTTATTGAAGAATCAGTGGGGAACTAAAATAATAAGTACACACGAAAACAATAAAGGTAAGGACCACAAAACACAACATTTTTCTGTTGGTAGAAAATAAAAAAACACATACCCAATAAGTTTGGTTTTTTTTTCGTCTTCCTTTGAATTTCTAATAAAATCAAAAGGACCTATTAGCTCATTCTTCGTTTGAGTGTCAATGGCAGACGTGTTGCTATACATGCGATGCAACAATTTATTAATATAGTTCATAATCACGAAAATGAATTTGAACTATTAAAATTCTGCTATTGGGTCTTGGTGTCTGTTTAGAGAAAAATACAACTCACACTTTCATCATTCACCAATCCATATCAATGAATAGAAAAATTAATACTTTTTCTTCCATCTTGCTTATATTCATTGGAAACTTTTTATTCTTGAATAACATTAACTTTGTATATTAATATAGATGTGGAATTATTGGTCGAAGTTTAGATAAAAATATTGTTCCTTATTTAAATGATTTCAAAAAACCAATATTAACATTGAACAATGATAATCAAATAGAAGAAAATACTTGTCCATGTGCATTTCAAATACGTTATCAAGGTTATAAAGGTAATTAACATAAATTTAATTATTTTTTACTAAAATATGTCATTTAAGGTGTATTAATGATAAATAATGATAATCAAGATGATAATATTCAAGTTCGTTCATCAATGAAAAAATTTACAAGTACAATAAGTATATGTTTATATGCATATGATGATGGATAATATTCAGTACCAAAACTTGGATTTCTTATTAAACAATTTATTATGTTATTATCTGGTTTAAATATTCCAGATGAAATTTTTTTAAAGAAACAAGAAGAACATTTTCATGAAATTATTTGAATGTGTGATGATATGAATGCTGCTATGAAATATTCACTTTATTTTGATAGAATTGATTTAATTTATCATTTATTATCAAATAATATTCAATTTATTCAATCAGAATTACAAATTCTACAAAAAAAAAGCTTTAGAAAGTGTTGGAAAAATAAAAATTCCTATTACAAAATCATGTTTAGCTTTTGGAGTTTGTGATCCATGTAAGTCAAATCAACAGTTAATATAAAACTTAACTATATTTTCTCACTCATTAATGATCGAGTATATGAACACACCGATTCAATTTTGAATAATTAAATTTATTAAGAAAGGATTCACCAATCAATCGAGCATTCTTATAAAAACATTTTTCGATTCCTACGATTTAATTTGATGGAATTATAAGCGTTGAAACACGAAAGACTCTGAGCCGCTTATATCTTCATCATTTTTCATCCGCTTTATTTAAGCAACATATCATTTGAAAGAGCACATTAAACTAACTTTTCTCGGTTATAAGCCGATTTGTTAGTATGATTTCTAATCGGAGTGCAACGTTAATAGAGTACATCTTGTAGAGTATATTTTGCACTCTACGAAGCTATTATAAACATTTTAAGAAAAAAGTTACGAAAAATACCGGGCATTATTTCTGGGGCATACATTTGTAGCTTTTTGACTGATTTTTAACAGATTTTACTTAGAAAAATCACGATTTGTTCAAAATGAATATGATATTCTGAATAATCATCAGAAAGTAACAAGAGAACCTCTCCAGGTGTCAAATCGCTTTTCGATCGAAACGATGTTTGTTTGATGAGCACTGGAGAGTAATAGAAAAACCTACCATAGTGTGGTTTTCCGAGTGTTTGTTCTTGAAATATCGAAACTTTATTGAATTTCTTGTCCCCTTCAGGTCACAGAGAAAATCAACTTTCGAATTTCGAGTTCAAACTTTGTATGAACAAAGTTCTTGATCAGATTAGTTCATCGTGTAAGTTTTAGCTTTTCTAGTGTTTCCTTTCTGCAGATGTAAATACATGAACAAAATTTGTTCTTACGCACGTGAGAATATTAAATATCTTAGAATAGAAGATATTAGAAAAGTTACAATTTGTCCACCGAATAAATCTGATTAAGAATTTTGTTCACGCAAAGTTTGACCTCGAAAGTCGATAGACTCTATGATCTGAGGAAGACAAAAAACTCCGTCGATATCTCAAGAATAAAGGTTCAGAAAAGTAAATCATTCTTCACTTTTGTATTACTCTCTAGTTCTCATCAAATGAACATTGTCTCGGTCGAAAAACGATTTGATACTTGGGTAGGTTCTCTCATGAACCAACTTATATGTATTTGAAATATCTGAGATATTGTTACCTTAGAACTTGTTTTCCAATGAAAAAAAAACTTTATTGAATTTTAGTTTTTGACTTTAATTCTGAGGAGAATCCGGGGTAAATTTTTCAATGAGAAAAAGAATGTTTTAAAGCTATTTGAAATGTACATCCGTCGACTCAGTTTGAGATGGCGATTCAAAATATTATATTAGTTTTGAAAAACTCGTCATTTTTCTAAGTAAAATCTGCTAAATACCAGTCAAAAAGCAACAATTTATGCCTCAAGAATAACGTACAGCCTTTTTTAAACTTTTTTCTTAAAATCTTTATAATGGTTTCGTAGAACATAAATTTTTCGACAAGATGTACTATATTTAAGTTGCATTCCACTTAGTAATCATATTGAAAATAGGCACACAATCGAAAAAAAATTAACTAAATAAAAGCTTCGTTTTTTAGAAATCTTTTCTAGACGTTGTTGTTCAGTTTTATGTACTCTATCAAATGAGATATTGCTCAAACAAAATAGATGACAAATGACGGAGATATAAATAGAATAATAAGGATGACGTTTCTTTTTCTGTTTCTCAGATTGCTAAGATTGACTCATGTCTTTAGTTACAATTTGAACCTTTAATTTCTAGTCTGCGATCAGATGAATTTTCTAATTTAGTTCATGTATATCTATGTCTTTATTTAGATGGTGTATTAAAATCTGGTGAAGTTTGTTTTCATCTAACATTTAATGGAAGACAATTTATGATTGATTCAAAAATTTGTTTTGTAGAAAAATCTCCAAGTTATCATTTAGGTGATATTCGACTTTTAAAGTTAACATCATATCAACAGTTAGAACATTTATATGATGTTATTGTTTTTCCAACGAAAGGTCAACGTCCACATCCAAATGAAATTGTATTCAAATGATTTTTGAAAAACAATGATTCATTATTTATCTAAGTTTATTATTTTGTTTTAGACTGGGAATGATTTATATGGTAATAAATATCTCATTTGTTGAAATAATGATTTAATTCCAAAACAAACAAATAAGCCAATGAATTATAATTCAACAGCAAAAGTACAAGAATCTGAATTCATTACACGAAAAGAAATGATATCTTATTTTGCTAATGCATAAAAAACTAATCAATCAGGAATTATTGATAATTATTACAATTATTGGGCGAATCTTCTTGGAGTTAATTCAACACAATGTCGTCGATTAGGAGAATTATTTTCTAAAGCTGTTGATGCTCCAAAAACTGGACGAAAAATATCGAATTCCAGCTGAATTGAAACCACCAAGAGAAGAAGAAGAAGAACAACAACAACAGTTAAATAATGAAATGACTTCAATACAACCTGTTCAAGGTAGATTTTCAAAATATTTATCGTTTCTTGAAAGAACAACTTTTTTTTTCTTGACGTCTTATATCCAAACTTATAAGTCAAAATAGACATCTATGAACGATTAGAACTAAACCCATATTATGCAACTTCTATGAATATGTCATAGTGTGCTTCAGAATGTTATACATTTAGATATTTTTAAGAAAAATATATTGATCATAATCATCACTGAGAACAATCCGTTCAACTCATTAAACTAAATCCTTCGTATTAGAAAACCCTCCTTGCAAGAATGATGTACCACACACTATAGAAAATTTTCTTGATTAATTATTTTCTCATAAATTTGAAAGTTTTGGTAGAGATTTTCGTTTCACTTTAGACTTTTAATAGAACTAATCGTTACAAAAAAATTCTTGTCTTTTGATCTACGGAAGACCAGCACTCGTAGCTTGTTNGTACATTACGTCAAATACTGTCAAGCTTAGAATGAGGATATAAAAGACAGGAGACATCATAATTGACTTGAGAGTGAGTTTCTGTAGTGTCCTCCAATGTTTTATAATTCATGAGCAGCTCCGTGGTATGGTAACAGACGTAAATCCCATTTTATTGTTTTTGATGTCCATTAGAGATAAATAGCTGTGATATGATAAGAAAGAAATCAAACGAAGGAATATCATTTGGTGGAAGGCAGTTACGCACAACGTAGAAAGAACTATATATTGAATTTGTGAAAATAGTTAGAAGAGGTTTAGAATTCTATTCATCGTTCAACTACTAACAAAATTTGTCATCACTATCAGCTTTTCTTCTCTATTGCATTTGCGATTGGAGAATACGTCGTTTATGGTTCTTTTATCAAGAACAGTTGGTCATAGAAAAGTGGAGTAAAACTAAGCCATGACCACCTTTATTGTATATCGTCGCAAAAGACGAAATTCTTTAATCAACACAAATCGAGCACATGTTCGCTCTCGAACCAAAGTACCACAAAATTCATCACATTCAGTTGGCCGAATAGAGACTGTCAGACACTTCAACCATTCTCAAAATGATCACCACACACGACAGGTGAGGGTTCCTTTTTCATGCATGTAAACATGATTGAATTTCTCGTTTAGGATAGGCCACATGAACCAATTGACAATACATGGAATCAACTACTTGAGCTTCCCATTATGGAAAATATTCGCCAGAAGACTCATATTTTTATGATCAAAGTATATCAATATTAACTATTTATTTCTAAACTTACTTGTTGATGGGTGGATAAATATCCAACACCGTTTCATGTTTTTAGCCATTCCAATACGATCAGAACAATCCCAGGGCGATCCCAAAGCCTTTGAATGAAAAGTATATTGATCGATGGGATGATGATCACGTTCTTATGCCGTGCTCATCACATCATAGATCGGTTAGTAAAACTTAAATTTAAATTAGTCTGGTTTTCGTTGACTGAAAGAATGACATTGACTCAGAAAAATGATGTGCGATGGGATACTATTTGTCGTTCATTGAAGCAGTTGGAGTACAAATGTCGTCAAGGAACAGCGACCACGAAACATATCAAAGTACTAGTTGTCTATTCGATATTTTTGCTGAAAACGGTTGAATAATCCTAATCTTCGATGTTTAGGAAACAATTGAAAAATGCTCACCAAAGAAATATGATATAAAGTGTCTGAGTTTCCTAATCAATCAAGTAAATTCTCATTTGCGAATCTCAATGTTTGATTATGAATTGCTTGTAGGTCTATTCTGCTGAAAAACGCGCTTTCTTCATGTCGTCTGTTCTTGGTAACATTTGCTTTTTAGCCAGAAATGTCGATAGAATCTGCGGTCAAGTACTAAGTTTTTGTTTTAAAGTTTTCTATTTTTTGCCTTGTGCATTCGTGTTGTCTTTTCCCAGCCGCCACCCCTGTTGTATGCAGGATCAAATCGGTCAGTTACCATGTCACAACATCAAGCTGCATCGCTGCTAGCTTGCAGTTTTTTTTGTCTGTTTCCTTGGGACTACGGCAAAAAGAGCGAAGAAAGATTCAATATCTATCGACAACCAAATTTTGAAAGGTAGAAAATATTTTACTGCCTCATGGTTGAGTCACTATTTTGTTACTTCGGCTGTAGATTGTATGAAGCAGCTTCACAAACAGCAGTGGAGAACGCAAAAGTGGAAAAATTGAAATGTATTCTGCACTATTTTCGACGCGTCAACGAGAAACGTGTGGATGATTTTCTCATCATATATTCACTTCGATTTTTATTTTACTTCTAGTACCCAATGGTGTGATCACAATTCGACGTTATCAATTGCCCAAAGAAAAGACACCTCAATGGTCCCAATCACGAAGATATCTATGTAACCTTCGAACTAGTTACGAGGAAAAAATTGAAGATGTGAATGGTCATCTACAGGTTGACGTGTTGACTAATATGTATAATACATTTTTAAATTGGATCTTTTCAGGTGGATTTTGCTAATAAAGCCATTGTAAGCACATAAAGTGAGATGTGCATATATATTGATGAATTTTTTTTGTATCAAGGGTGGTGGCATACTGGGAAACGGTTCCGCACAAGAAGAGATCCGCTTTGCTTTATGTCCGGAAATGATTGTTAGTCTATTGGTTTGCGAAAGGCTCAAATCAAACGAATGCATCTTTCTTATTGGATGCGAAAGGTTTTCATCATATGATGACTACGGAGAAGCATTTCAATTCACACATGATTTCGACGATGAAACACCAAAGTATGAACTATTTGTTAGAAGGAAAAAGAAAATATTGATTTTTCATATGACCTAAAGTGTTATAGAGTGTAGGGAGAGGACGGGTTAGTGCGAGAATGACGATAGTGCTCAAATCATCACCCCCCCCCCCCCAACCAAAAATTGACCCACATCCATATTGACTCTGAAAGAATCCATATGTAGTCCATCAGTAGGGGACGATCAAACTAGCCCACCAACCAACCGATTCTTCATGACATCGAGAGATCGTCAATTAGAGAATGCATATGTCGATGAAATTTCAAGAGGAAAGGAAATGATTCACTGGTAATGATATTTGGCTAGTAGACTACTTTTAGAGAGAATATGGATTCAAAAGGCTGTAATTTCTTCGAAAATTCTCTCAAGATGTCTTCAAAAATCAACCGGATCTCAAGATTTTGAGTGAAAATGAGTGGATTTTTCGAACAAAGCTGTTTTGTGATATCTATTGCCCTAGTGAGTGGGAAAAACTTCCTCCACTAAGTGATATTTGTCCTTACCGTGGATTCAACCATTGAGATGGGCCTTTGAACGACTTTGAAAAGATAACTCTGTATAGTCAGTAAATATAGGTATGAGTCAATACTCGACAAGATCGAAACTTTATCCGCTTGTGGTCTCTCTGTTGAAAGATGTGCTCATTTTTCTGAATTTTCAATCTACCGTACGGCATTGTTCATAAAAGAACGAAAACGAATTTCGATCTTAATTTTCATCTGTGGTAGATCTCACTGCTATTAGAAGATAGCTTGAGAATTTCAAGAAACACGATTAGTTTGTTTTGAAATCATTAAGATCAACTTTTAACTCAAAAGTTGAGTTCTTCGCTTCGAAAATATTAATAGAATGATCAATAACTCGAAAATAAAAAGTTGCTTTTGTAGAACGCATCAAAATATTCTAAAAGTGCAAGATTTATCTAGCAACAAAATTTCAGACAAAAATTCTGTTTGTTGATGTTTATTGTATCTGTCTAACAGCTAATTACCTATTCAATGAAACCGACACAAATTGCTACCAAATGATCATGTGCCGATCGTCATTGGTATTTGCTTAGTCCAATCTAGACTTGCATGCATCAATGATATAGAGTGAGCATATTCTCAACTATTTCAAATGATACCGTCCTTACACTAACTATCGGGTGACGCATCATAAATGGCCCCACTTTCCATTTCATATTTTCATCTCTAAATGCGTTTTATCAAAAAAACAAAACAAAATATGCCACAAGATGCAGCGTGAAGAGTTCTGCAATCTACAGCGTAAAGCTTATTTTAATTCCGCATTTTTTGGTGTCCAAAGAAAGTAAAATTCTATGCTACTACTTCGCAGCGCCAAATATTGAGTACAGAGAAATTCGTCTAATTTGAAAAATAATGGACGCATATATAAAATTAGATTTTTCATGTAACTTATAGAGCTTTTCATGCTGTATATTGTGGTATATTTTGTTTTTTTAATAAAGCGTATTTAGAGATTAAAATATTAAATGCAAAGAACGACGACTTATTCTGAGTCACCCGATATATAAGACTGAAAACTCAAACACGACATATTCCGGTGTCGATTTTTTTCAGAAAAGCTGTCTCACTTTTTCTTATAAAAAAAAAACTATTCCATCACGTACATTTCGATCCGTTTAAGAATTGAAGATATGCGCATGGGTCATAGTTACATATACATAGTGTCCTATGACAACTAATTCAAATAGTTTATTATTCCCTTTTATGTTTGAATTATTACACGCTTGACTAAATTATCTAAAAAAAAATAGTATTTCTAAGTTCTTCGCTTT